ACATTTCCAGATCAATCAAATCTAATTGTCTATATTATTGTGTATTGTAGGGTTCAATGTGTTGCTGGACCGTTGCTATGCCACAACAAGCCCATATCCAACCAGCAGCACCTCTTATGATCTTTTTATTGGGTGAGTCATTCATAAAAAGCAGACTGAAAGAGAGTAGTTGAGAAGACACTTTCATTCTCTTGTGAGAATCACATCTCTTGTTGTTTTTAGGTGTAATCGTGATGCCCAAACAAAGATTGATTGGAATGGGATATCCCAGGTAGCTCTCTTCTCCTTTGAGGCCTTCCGCTTTGTGGAACACAAAAACCGGTCCATCTCCACTTTCTACCTGCATTGTGCTACCCGACTCTGTGAGAACTACACTTGCGCCTCCTTGATTCCGGTAACTAATCGTGCTTATCTGATGACAGAATTTCATTTGTTTACTTTTATTTTAGATTAGTTTTAGTCTGGCTCAACTCATGGTTATGTGTGGATTTCATCAGACCTTTTTTTTTTTTGTATGTGTTTTTGTAGAGATGCGTTAGGAAAAGAGAAGTACAGTCTCCAGTGCAGAACTCTTCTGATGTTGCCACTGTCTCCTCAGGACCAATCAGCACTAGAGTTGACAACGGTACTGTACAAACGGCTTGCGTGCTTGGCCCCTTTAAGACTTGTCGCCATTTTAAGATTGCGCAGCAAAGTTTGAGAGAAGAGATGCGAGCAGATCCAAATCCAGGTGTATTATGTATGCGTGCATCCTGTAAAGTGAGTTGTTCTTGTTAAATTATGCTTAATATTGAGATTAAGTTGTAATCTTGCCAGCATTTGCAGCTATGGTAATTATTTTCGATTGATTGAGCGTGCAGAACTAGCGCCTGTTTACATACACGCAGTGGCGTAGACAGGGGAGGGGCCATGGGGGCACTTCCCCCCCCTGAAAACTGATTGGCCCCCCAGTGTGCCCCCACCCTTCAACGTGTCTGTCAGTCAAAAATTCAAATCATATCTTTCGGCTAGCATTTGAATTAGTGATGGGAAGTTCGGATCATTTTACCGACTCGGACCTTTGAGTCTCGTTCAGCAAAATGAACGAATCTTTTTTCTAGTCATTTCGTTCATTTTAGCAAAATATAATTAAAATGTTACGTGTTACTTCCCTAATACATCTACTACTTAAGCAAACGTTGATCACACTACAAACAATACAAAACTGCTATAAGAAACAGAAAATATTAATTTATTGTTTACCTGGGTCTTCAGTCTATGATTAGCTCACCTCACCTCTTATCTGACAAGTCTTCGGGTTTGAGTCATTCGTTCATCACGTGACAGCCCCATAAACTTTAACCAATGCAGTCTGAGCCGGAAAGAGACTTGATTAGTTCATCTCTCGAGTCTTTCGAATCATTCGTTCTTTTGTCACGTGACGTGACAGCATTGGATAGAGAAATCAGTTAATTTACAAGCTTCCTTACAAACGGGTGCGTTATTATTATTATTATTATCATCATCATTATTCTAATTATTATTTACTCTTACAGTTACGTGATGCGTTTCTGGTCTCAAATTGTAGCTTTTTACTTCTTACAGTTTATAAATGTGTGAATTTCTGTCATTATGGTTCTTTTCCATAACACTGAATGTTGTAACAAAGGTAATAAAGAGTTGGTTATTATTATTAAGTCTCTTTGACTGCATAGGTTAAGCTTATGGGGCTGTCACGTGATGAACGAGTGACTCGAAAAAACCCGAAGACTCGAAACAGGTGAACTACTTGACTAATTCCAGTACAGAACCTATAGGATGTTGCGCATGTGCGACTGAACGAATCACTCCCCGAGACGACTCGTTCTTCCCGAGTCACATTAAAGATTCGTTCAAAATGAACGAATCGTTCAAGAACGACCCAACACTAGTAAATTGATCTATTTTATATTCCTTATTATTATTTTTCAATTAGCAAGTTGTTGCAGTGCTAGATTTTGGTAAGTTACCATCTTTCAGTGTTAGGACAGACCAGGTTTGATGTTAGTTCCTAGAC